GTTGCATTATGGTCATGGTACGCGGCACGTTGTTGAGGAGTGGCAGGGAACGAGCCAACAGCCGCGCGAGGAGGGCGGGCGACAAGCATTCATTGTGAGTTCGTGACAAGTCCCATCAGCGTCGCAATGGAACTGGCATCTGCATCTGCATGTGCGTCTGATCGCAAAATCAATGACAGCCCCGCTGGGGTAGGCCACCCCGGGTAAAATACCACATTACAAAGAAGGGGGGGGGGGGGATGCATAGGGGACCTGCATGAGCTCGAACTAGTAGCTGGCCACCAGGGAGCAGGGAGCAACACCAGGGCAGCGCCGGGTCACCAGGACGAGCAGGGCAATAGAGTGACAGACACGAGGTGGGCATGGTGGGAAAGGACGAAAAAGGTGCATCGAACCTATAAGACGTCAGTATAGGTTCTATTGGTGGATGTAGGTGACGGTGGATGTGGGTGTGGGCATGACGACTGGTATGGATGGAGGTTTGCCAATGCATGAAGTTCGGTTCGTAAAGTTAGACTAGCATCGAGTACCATTGATTGCTGAGTCGAGGCGGCGCAGGTAAGGTGAATACCGGACAAGAGAGGTGGACAGAGAGCGACAAGAAGAAAGAAAAAAAAAAGGCGCCTTCGATGCAGCCATGGACATTGACAGACCAGGCCCAAATGGCAAGCTACCGTACTCACCTAACCTTCACCATGCTTGACATTGCCTTGGAGGTATCCTTCCACCTACATGTAGGTACCTACCTACCTACCTTAGGTCGGTAAGGGTACCTTAGCTGCCTAACTTCAGATCAGCCCCAGGGACGGACCCGACGGCGGCAACCAACATTCACATCATCAGATCACCAGCAGGGAGTAGGGGGCGAGTGACCCCCCCCCCCCCCCCCCCCCACCATTCTCCCAAGCCAAGGTATTTCCATCTGTGGTAGGCGTTTGGCTTTGCTGAGGTGGGTTTAGTCGCGGCAGCCTTCCCAACTTGACAGCGCGCCCAGGCCAGCCCACCATGGCTAAGGTCGGCAGGGATTTTCTTTCCCTTCCTCGTTAGGCTGGGTTTGCCGAACAGGGCGAACGCGGTGCGGTCGTTCGGAGGTGGGAGAGGTCGTTGGTCTGGGCAGGGCAGAACAGGGCAAGATGGAGCAGAGCACACCTGCGGCAGACTCAGGACACAGCGCGTCTACCCGCCAACCCTGGTGTGGGTAAGGGCCCCAGGTAGGCAGGTCGTGCAGCGCAGTGCCCAGCCTTTGGCCAGGATGCTGCTGTCCTTTTTCTCGGGGAGTTCCGAGCCTGATGCGTGGCTATTGGTAAGGTATCTCATGCGGAGCGGGGTGATGGGTGAGTGACTGGGCTAGTCTTCAAGTAGCGATGAATGGGATGGGGGCTTGCTGGGATTCCCATTGTCGCCCGCTGTGTTTCCCGTCCTTCTAACCTTCCAGCCCGCCAACTGCCTGCCTGTTGGTGCTTCTGTGCAGCAGGTGTGTGTGGCCTGCCTGCCTGCCTGCTGCCTACCCTGCCGACCGTGCCTGCCTTTGCCGCGTGCCACAGGAGTACCCGGGGACCCGGACGTGCCCTCCGTAGGGGGGAAGCCCGCCTCTCGTGGAGGAAGCCGTCGGGTCGCTTGACGGGGTTGCGTGCCTGCCTTTTGCACTACGATGGCAGAGACCTGGCCGCAACGACCTGCTGCTAGGGGAACACCAGCATCCGTCCCTGGTTGCCGTGCTTGGCAAGTGCCCGGCGCTACCTTCCAACGCGCGCCATTGTCGTCTCTGCGTGGCGAATGGTCGAGGGAACGACAGGTATCGGAAGGTGCTGTTTGGGTATGGTACGGCAGTACTAACAACCTGCGATGCGGCAGGTACGGCAACGGTCCCCTCGAGACTACCTAGGGTCGTCGGAGGCAGGATGACCTAAGGTCGCCCCGCAATTCAGCGACGAATTGAACGATTCGGCCGCCCCACGGAGCACACTCCGGCGGTGGCAATCAAGAATGCTTATGCGTTGCTCCTTCGTCATATGGTCACACTATGCTCTGACACTCACCACCAGAGCCAGTGACCGTCCAGGCCCTCTAAGACCACCGTCTCGCCTTGGCGGCCGACGGCGGCTGCGGCTGCCACTGCTACTGCCACCGCTGCACTTGCTACTGCTGCACCTGCTCCCGCTACGGTTGACTACCTAGGTCAGCTAGGAAGGCACTACTCCGCGGCGCTGCGGTTGGCGCCCGGCACTACCGCGACTACGACCACATTCGCGCCATGGGGATGCCATATTTCTTTTTCCTGCATTTTTCCCATCCCAATTCTGCATTTTGTCGCTGGCGCACTTCGTCTCTCTCTCGCTCTCTCCACCCTGGGGCCCCCTCTTCGCCTGCACCAGATCGCCGCTCCGCCAAGTCGAACCCGAAGTCTTGTGCAGTCGGCTCAGTCAGGATGGTCTGACATGCGACCGACTATCTTTCTGGCGCCGCTACGGGATTTTTTTTTTTGGGCTCCAAGCGACCATCGTGCAAGCTATACGCTTGATCGCCCTCGTCCGCGCCCCGTCTCTCCGTCTCTCCGTCCCTTCCACTGTCCCCCCTCCCCCCCCCAAATCAATCAATACGCCATCATCCATGCTGCTGTTCCATCCATCTAGCAGTTCGCCATTGTCCCTGAGACTAGGACCAGATGGTTCATGACGCCCCCTCCCCCTGGCTTCATCCTCCTGGCAACCTCACTGTTGTTCCCCGTATGGAGACAGATCCTGTCTTGCCTAGTGGCTTTGCTAGCTCTCCGAGCTCTCTCTGCCCCCCTTGGACTTTCCCCTCGATAACCTAACCCAAGACCATCGATTGTCTAGCATGCCCTTCTTTTCGTTGCTGAGCCTGGCATCCACACCCAGATCGACATCTCACATCTCACATCACCCAAAATCCCCGCCAGCATGTCTATCCTGTCCTGCATCATATCACATCACCGCCGCCAAACGCCGAAGCCGAAACCTGTCGAGCGAGGCCCGCCGTGACACCTGGCGTTTGCCGTGTCTTGAATCAGTCAGCTCGAGTGGTCGGTTCCTCGAGGCCACACGGAAGTCCTATTGTTCCTACCTGCCTGTGTGATGCCTGGATGACAAGGAGCGGGCAAGTCTGTTTGTGAATGACAGAGCGCGTGATGGAGAAACGCAGGCAATGAGAGTGCGCACGAGAAAGCGCACCATGGCTCCGCGCGAGAACGCGCTGCGCTGGGAGGGTACGGCCCAAGGAAAATATTGGACGAACCTGTCGGCCCTTTGCTTGTCTCAAACATCATGGCGAGATTCTCGGCCCTTGGGCGAGGGTCATCCATTCCAGTGCCCACAGCCGTCATCATTCCACTTTCCTACTACGGTGCCTGCCTGGCTGTCTGATTGTCTGTAAGTGCTCGGTACGACAGCTTTTCGCTTGCCCCATCTAGCCGCGCCACGACACGCTCTGTGCCTGCATCGCGATCTCGCATCGCCTCTCCCTCCTTCACGCTATTCTTTCGTCAATGCTCTATCCGAACCTTCAATGGCGATATCGCCCCATCGTCGCCTGGCCGTCAGTCAGAGACATCCGAGTCGTCCCCAGTCGAATCGAACGCCCACCGTCTTTGCGTATACACGGCCCTTGGCCATCGGTCTCTATTGTTCTCCCTCCTTCACCTACCTCCTCGTCCCCCCCTCTGTTACGTTCACATCTCCACAGACGGCCAGACAAGTAAGCGAACAATTTCTGTTGAAGGAGCATAGCGGTTCCTGCAGGTACCTTGCTTCTGTCTCACGAGCATGCATGGGTAGCAGGAAGGGGTAGAGCAAAAGCCAGAGAAGAGGCCAAGAGACTTCGAGAGCAAAAGAGAGTCGACAGGGGAGGGGAGGGTGTGTGTGCTTCAACACACCCCGAGCAGGGGTCTGGTCAGAAAACCAGGGGAGGGGGGCGTGTGATAGCATCGTCGTTGACAAGGGTCCTTCCCCTCGTCCACCGTGCAGGCCCCTCCCCAGTCCCTCTGGTCCCGAGAGAAAGGTCGCTACCCTCCATCCCATGTCCACCCGCAGCCAGGCTGTGCGTGATGCCATCCGTCCAGGACCAGGTCGACTCGAAATACACCGTCTGCCACACGGTCTTCTTTACAAGGTCTTTTTTGGTTACCAAACGTAGCCCAGTGGCTATATTCGCCCCCCCAAAAAAACGGACAGAACCAGAGAGATGCCGCACGGCAGCACTTTGTTGTCGATATGCTCGCCGTTCGAAACGGCTTCAACACTTAATTGATTCGTGAGTACCTTTCATGGTTCGCCCTCCTTGCTTGCCATGCTCTGCTCGCTTTTCTGGGTGTGTTACGTTCGTCCACCCTTCTCTCCAGACTATGGCAATCCATCGGCGGGGCATATCTGAACTGGCGTGCGCCCAGTGATCGGCCACGACATATTGCTTTCCCAAGGGAACAGCGAAACAAACGGCGCGCCCTCTTGTGCGAACCATCTCTGCCCATGCGGTCCTGCGGGCGATAGTCAGCCATCGACTCAGTCAACTTAGATTAGAGCTTCTCACCCTTCCTCCTACCCTACTCCACACACCCGCGTCTTTATTGCCCACCCCTACCTTTACCGTCACCCCTTCCTTCGAATGCCCCTTCGGTCAGTTGGGCTACCGCGTACGTAGCCTCGATACATTCCACTCTGGGGCTCTCGTGTCTCTCGTTCGGCTGTATTGCCGCCCACTATTACCCCATTTCGTGAAGATAGTCCCGTCCATCAGCTTCTCAGGGCGTCATCTTCATCTCTCCACTCCTTGGGCTCTTCCTTTCATATATCTTTAGAGAGCCCCGTCTCGTCAGGAACGCTCCCATCATCCCATCATTCTTAACCAGTATCCGTTCCTGGACAACCTCGTCTTCGACAGTCGTCAAGTCTCTTCCTTACACAAACATTCATACACACATACACAGGGAGACCAACAGACCTGCACACACACCACATATCTCCTCACGCTCTCTTCAAATCACAATGATCCCCTCGTCGTGGTCCCATGAACAGGGCAGCTCCATCGACATTATGGATGCTTGCTTCGTTCGTGATCCCAGCTTCGACTTCAACACTCCCTTGCTCAGCAGCAGCTCTGCTTCCTCACCGACCTACGACTCCTGCGATCCCTTCACTCCTCGGTCTGGGCGATCTACTCCCCACGCCTCCGCAGTTGATTTCAGCGAATCCTTCTCTTCTCACGGTTCATTCAACTTTGAGCCTGCCGCGGCTGGCATGCCGATACACCACAAGAACCACAGCCACCAACACTATCACAGAACCGGCACCATGGACATGCCTCTTCAGTACTCTGCTTCCATGCCTCTCACACCCAGCCGCCGCCACTTCTCTGGCATAGACATTGATTACAATACGATGCTTCAGGCCACACTCAACCAGCAGTGCATGACCACCATGTCACCCGTACAGGCCACCATGATGGACCAGTATGCCTCTATGCCCCAGGATCTCCAGTCCTCCCCCTTCACGATGCCCACTCCCAGTCGCTCTCTTCCCAGCTCTACACCAAACCACGCCGTCAACATGTGGCCTTGCAACGAGAGCCCCATCATGATGTTTGGCAACCATGGCACGCCATCCCCCTCTCCTCTCCAGTCCATGTCGATGAAGCGCGATCACGACTCACCCTCACCTCCTCCATCGAGGTCCTTCCGTCGTCGTACTATGACCGAGGCGCAGCGGAGGACGATGGCTCTTCAGAGACACCAGAGTGAGATGATGTACCGCAGCCAGCACGACTCGGAGGCCATGGCACAGCTCAGGTCCATGAAGCTTGACCACCACTCTGCAGAGGATGAGCTTGACTCTGTCTACGTCGACCGCCGCGTGGTCCCCCGTCCTCGCGAGAGGTGCGACTTCATGGGGTGCCGCAAGACATACCAGAAGAAGGAGCACTTGAAGAGGCACCAGAGGGCGTAAGTTCCAAACCATACATCCAACCCGAACTATCGAGAGTTACCAACTAACAAATCACAGCGCCCATGGCATTGGTGGTACTCCTGAGATGCACACCTGCCCTGCTGATGGTTGCCACAAGGTCTTCAAGGACCGTTTCGACAACTTCAAGCAGCACCTCCGCATTCACAAGGACGGCAAGAGCACAAGGACGCCATACAACGAAGAGGCAGCTCAGATGTATGACGAGTTGTGCAAGCAGAGCAAGACCCGCAACACAAAGAAGGGTCTCAGGACTGCCAAGGCCTAGCAACAGTCTTTCTTCGTCACTTCACATGCTGTCTGGGCGCCCGGCCTCGCCACCTTTTACTTCGTTTCGCTTCTGGCCCACCAACTCCTCCCTTTCCACCTTGATCAACCCCCCCTGCCACACACATAATCACAACCAAAGAAGCAAACACACGCACACACAACTACGCACAGCCTCATCAATTCGGACACGAAACACGCTCACCACATTCTCAACATCGTCATTCACATCTTCAAATACCATGTACTAATTCTTGCTGTACTCGTCACACGGCGCAATTGGACATTTTTTTTCTCTCTCTCCGTTACGGGGCCTTTTATTGGCCGGTGCATAATCTCAGGCTTGGTGGAAGAGGGAGGGGAGAGTATGTGCAGCCGGAACTGATTTTCTCAATCTTTTTTATTTTTTATTTCCTATGGGGAAAAGGACATACTTTCTGATTTTCTGGTCTTGATCTCAATCTCCTCACTGCAGACGAATACGCGGAGGAAATACCAAGACCATTTTGGGCGAGGATGTAAGGCGGCAAGACGGAAAACGGGTTTCTACATTACGGTTTTGCATGATCATTTTCTTTCGGCCCACCCACAATCGGCGGCGGGGCATAGACAGAGACGTCGCAACGGGGCATTTGAGACTCGGTGAATGGCAAGAGTCGCGGGGTATAGGTGGAAAGCATTATTGTCGTCACGGTAGTCTGGCAAGATAGAGACAAATTTACGGCTTTGCGCATGGCAGACCAAAACCCCGAATACTGCCGCTAGTGAACCTTGTGCCATGGGCAAAATTCCACGCGCATTTCCGAAAACACCCTCACCGCGCCCACGTCCCCAGTTTCTCTGCAACTGTGTTGCCTTATTTGGAGCGCAGAGAACTCAACATGGGGCGGAAATTCGCAACATTCGTCCCCAGCAGCCATCTGCTCGGAGCGGCCAGAATTACCTGTAGTCATGAGACCCTCGGGCTGGGCGAACCTAGCAGTGCCCCCCCCCCCCCTTACCCCTGCGCTTCCAGGACCTACGCCACCCACCTCTACCCCTGGCCCATATCGCGCCCTAGACGGGCACCAGGCAGGGCTTGTCCTACATGGAGCAAAGATCGCCTCAGTGGCACTGGCTGGCATGTCTGAGATTCGTAGCTCAAATCCCGATAGTCCCGAGACAGGCTTCCTTTTTCCAACGAAGCCTCACCTGCGGTTCGTTCGACCTTATTGCTGAGGGCGCCGCGAGAACCCCACCCAGGTCCCCTTCTCAGGACCTCTCTCTCGCTGTAGTCGCTCAACAACACACAAACTCCGCTTAACCGCGGGCCGTAGTGGGCGGCCCCATGATGTCTCATTTATGTCAATCAGCACTGCATGCTGGTCTGGAGCACCGGAGAGCCTTCCTCAGTCTCGCTTTCTCTTCGTCACTAGCCCCCCCCCCCCTTAACGAACTCGCGTACGACACCCGTTCCACCACCTCCTCCGTTGCGTACCACTGGTGGAGCACTTTGCCCCCCAAGGCCTCCGGAGGGAATGGTGCTTTCGCCGATGAGGACAGGGACGGACGGGGGAGCCACCCGTGACGCTGTGATGGATAGCGTCAGGGCGGCGGGCGGGGCCCGGGAGACGAGGTTTCCGTATTACTCGGCATGCCGGACGACGTAGGTGGACGTACGTTGTCGCTGTCAGAAGTTGAGCTGTCAGTTTTCAACACTACGTTACTCACTTTTCCTCACTTTTCCCGCGCCTCTTTCAACCCCTTTCGTCGCGCGAGCCTAGATGCTCACAATCGTGAGCTATGATGAAGTTTTGTACATTTTTTTCGTTTTTTTTTTACTTGCCTCACCCCCTCTGCCTCTTCCTCCCGTTGGAGAGCTCTCATTTATGGGCTGAATCCATTTTCAGCCCAGCCAGATCTGCTGTGCAGCCACGAGACCAGGTAGAGGCACGCTCGCTCCCCGCCTCCGAAGCGATCGGTGTGGGATCCACGTCTCTCGGGGAAGGCTCCCCAGGTCAGCTACAATGGATATGGCGAAGCCATCACGGGGACTAGGTTGTCGCCGCCGCGGGTACCCTCCCCGAGTGAATACGGGACGAATAGGCTAGGGTTGGTCGAGGCGTTCCACTCACCGGCGGCCGTGCAGCCCACTGGACGTTCTGCGCGCGTTAGGGGAATGCAAGTTTCTCGGGGCTCCTCCCCTTGGTGGTGTGGCCCCCCATCGTCAGTCCAGGCCTTTCCCTCTTGTGGGAGCGCGTGCTGGACGGAAGCTCGTGACATGTCAGAAGGGGATCGGGGAACCCTCAGTGTAACACCAACCCTCCCACTTCGCCCGAGGTACCTACTGACTACCTGACTACCTGACTACCTGACTACCACCCCATCCTACCGCTGACGGAGCATCCATTCCTCGATCTAGGCCGAACCTGCAGTAGCTCGAGATCTGTGGGCTGCAGTGCTGCAGATCATTACATGGCTCAACACTACTTGGAGCGAGGGAAGGCTGGCCAGATCGCATACCGGGGTGGACTGGGGACCATTGCGTCAACGTCAGGGTTACCTAGCGGTGCTCTTGTATTGTCGATACATCGTTCGTGCATCGTCCAGCGAGTTGTTTTAACACGGTATGCGTTTGTCGCGTTAGCCTGACCTCCTGAACTTATTCTCGAAGTGTGCTGGAAGAATATAGTGCAACCCACCATGCGCCTTTGTCTGCATACTCTCGGTTTTCGCCGATGGAGGTGACACGCAACCGGGGGAAGGGCCAGCAGTTTGTGCAACCACACGCAGGTGATGCGTGTCGTCGATCTTGAGGCAGGTAAGGTAAGGTACCTTGAGCGAGGTACCTTGGGTGTCGTCCTCGATGAGATGGTTGGGCGAATGATGTGCACAGGGGTCCCTCGGGCGCGCCTTGCCAGTAGCGCCAGGGGCGCTGGGGCCCTGCACCGCGATTTGGGTTTAGGGGCATCTGGGGGGGATCTGGGGAGTTCTTGCCGGTTGTCTTGCGCTGCGCTCGAACCAGCAGAGGGTGGGTCTATCAGAGAGCTGTGGCCAATGGAGAGCTACATCTGCAGCCCTGTCAAGCCACCTGATTCATCCAATGCTGTGAGTGCCCATGCCGTGGACGGAGAGCTTCAGCTGTGGCGTGGTCGTGCTTCCCCACCGTGATTCGCTGCCCTCGGTCAAATGGCAGCAGCCACAGGTCTCTCCTGCTCCCAGTTTCTCCATCTTTGGGGACTCACTCAGCAATGCTTCAGGGCTTCCGGGAAAGTGGCCAGGCCCTGCCTCTGCTGAAGCACCTGGAGCCCCTGCCTCTCACCACCACCGCCAGCTCCAGCCCGACGCCCGCTGAGAGCCATGGCCGAGGCAGGCGTCTGGTTTGTCCCGAAACCTATCGCCATCGTCCAAACACATCCATTGTCGCCGCCTCTTCATATCAGCAGCGTCCAGCTCAAATGCCCAGGGCCAGACCAAGGCCCTGATGGATTCGCACCCTCCCCACCCACGCTCCATCATGACGCTTCGTCGATTCGCCGAGACCATGCCAGCCAAGTGACTGACTGACCGACCGACTGACCGACCGATCGACCCCCTCATTGACCGTTGACATCAATCGAAACGTCAAGTCAGCCTCGAGCCTCGAATCGCGCCATCATCTGCGCCATCATTCTCCCTCATCCCAATACACCCAACCCAAACATTGTTCGACCGCTCTTCGAACAGCCCATCCCTATCCCTGTCAGCAGGGAACTCCCAAACATCGTTCTGCTATTGTTCCATGCAGGTCATCGCCTGCGGCTCCCTATTGTAGCCCTCTTCCTGCCTAGCCTCGCTGCACGCGCCACAGCCAACGCCCACACCACCATTTGCATCGCACAATCAGCTATTGTTGCAGGCACAAGCAAGCACAAGAGCGGCGGAGGCGTGAGAGCAATCAACCAGAGACGCCTATCCTCGTCGCTGACGAGGCTTTCCCAATCGTCATGGCGCATCGGCAAGACCGCCACCAGCAGCCGCCCTCCTACCAGGATGCCATCAGCCGCCTCGACTGGCTGGCGTTGGTCGCGCCCTATGTCGCTGTCACCGACTATCCTCACCTTTGTTCTGTGAATAGTCACTTCTGCAGCGTCTTTGCTCCCCGGTTGTGGAACGATCCGCTGCGAACGGTGCGAGTGCTTGGTCTCGAGCCGAGTCACGGTTAGTCCTCAGCGTGCAATCTGTCTCAGCGTCTCGCTACATGCCGCTCACACGCTCAGACCTCGACTGGTACTTTCACTTCGTCTTCGTCCGTGCACCTCGAACAAGGCCTTCCGTCCTGCGCCTTGTGACCGTGCTCGACTTTCGCGACTTCGCCAAGGACAATACGCAGTTTTCGAGCGATGACAGCCCAAAGACCGTTCCGGAAACGTTTAGGAGGCTGCCAACACTATTTCCCCGTCTTCGATGCATCCTTTTAGACGGTCACGTCGAGGCTGACCCAGCCTCGTTGGCAGCGACTCATGCCCGTGCCGGCATCCTCCAACCCCTCTTGCTGAGCATTGCCGACTGCGATGCCCACTTGTCCATGTCCTTCTTCACTTCCGGTTTCCTCCGCAACATAGTGTATCTTAACGTGTCGTGCCTGCCCGGGTCTCTCCAGGGTCTATTGACCACGGCACAGGCGCCCGGTGGATTGCCCCACCTGAGGATCCTCAAGGCCAAAGGCCGGGAACTCGATGATAGCGCGGTCGAATCGTTGTGCGAAGCCTTCCGGCGACAACTCTGGAGCTTTGACCTCAGCGACAACAAGCTGAGCAACAGCATTGTTGCTGCTCTATCTACCATGCATGCCGGCGCGACGGCATTGCGCACCGATGCACACTTTGAAGTCGAGGGTACGCTGCTGAGGTCAGCTGACGCAGGCGATGATTCGTACGGACCGTTCATGTTCATCCGGGAGTCCGATGTCAGCGCCGAGTTTTGCCATCCAGACCGGTACTTCGCCGATGCCCCCGCTTATTCAGTCGACGGTGTCCACGG